GGGCTCAGCCTCCTCCCCCAGCAGCTCAGCTCAACAGCAAGTCTCCCTCGGTCCCAGCAGAGCACAAGTCTCGTGTCCGGGACCCACCAGACTGTCAGGTCCAGAGCAGCGATGACCAACTGGTTACCCAGCCCCCATCAAAGCCGCTCCGCTCTGCAGTAGCTCCCCCGGCCCTCCCCCACACCTGCACGGGGCTGCTCTGAGACCCGCTCCCTTGCGGAGGCAGTGGTCCTTGGAAGTGGAAGGCGGTGGCAGCAAGGCCAGAGCTCAAAAGTTGACTCCAGGACGGAAGCTGCTGTTGGGGAGGAGACGCTGAGCTGCTGGCTGAGCGGGGTACAAGCTGGAGCCCCCTCGAGCTGGAGGGAGGGAGTGCAGCCCTGCACTGGCACTCCCGGCGGGATGGTGCCAGTGTGTGCTAAGGCACTGGGTTTGTGGTGGTATGGAGTGGAGACTCCAGGTCTAAAAGGCACGGAACGATGAGGCTATTCTTAGGGGAAACAGGGTCAAGGGAGGATCCTACCACCGGACTGACCCAGGGCTATGCTGGGATGGTCAGTTGACTTAAATCAAAATGTCAAAGAGACTCCCTGTGCTCGGGCAGCTGGGAGTCTGTGAGGAGCATCCTACCTGATCTGGTTCCAGCTCCTCCCGGACAGCCTGGACCGCATCCCGACACTCACTGAGCACGGACTCGAACAGCCGCTCCTTGGTCTCCTCGCTCTCGGCCTGGACAACGGCAGGAGGGAGGAACAGCAGGGCTAGGTTCCCACCACCACACCAGACACCCCAAAACACTGCACAAAAAGAGCACGTCCCTGGTATGCCGAGCCCCACCTGGTAAGGCTCTCCCATGGGTCTACTCACTATGTGTACGGGAAGACCAACCCTCTTCCGTGGGGTTCTTTTCTTTGATTTAAAAAAATCATTTACTGGGGGCAGGTACAGCTCCTTTCACAATCCATCCACCCATTGAGTCAAGCACATTTGTACATATGTTGCCATCATCATTTTCAAAACATTT